GCTTTTGGCCTGAGGGGGCAATCGCGAGCATAAAAATTCAAAACTCCGTAAAGTCCCTTTCAAGATTGCAAAGATTTGCTGGTTAGATTGTTATTATTTATCTATTCTTCTCATACAGAATGTCGTCCATAAAAGTCTCTGTTCACTTGTATTCCTAGAACAAAATTATTGCATATTACAGTGGATTTCACTTACTGTGAAGGAGCGTTCGACCCGTCTGTACTCATAGCAGGAACACAGTGGAAATGAGTATTTTTAGAGTTTAGTAATTGTTTTCATTTTCATTCCTGAATTTGACTCAGACATTCATAAATGTAAGCCACAATGCTGGCTCAAGTGTTGTTTCACCAGAAATATAAATCCAGTTTCTGTGCAGCTATCTCACAGAACTCAAGAAAATCAGTGGCAGTGAAAAATAAACTGTTAGATTTGTAAAAAGAGTTTTTTAATAGAAAATGTTTGTGGGTGTTAAAGTTAATTATTTTTGAGAAGTGAAGCTTTTTCCGCACATGAACGCCGCTACACTGTGACAAAAGTTCCTAGATATTTTCAGAAGTATTTAGTAAAAATAGACAAAATCAAAAGATTTGTTCATCCTAAAGCTTGTGATTAAGTGAGGATAATAAATAAATAACCACAATTTCCCGTGGTCTTTCTGATGCCCATTGTACAAATTTTGGGTGTTATTTACTGAGTCAGTCCATGTGATGAGGATGCCCACCACCCGAGCAATCAAAGCAGCTCCTAATGTGTTTAGTCATTAATTGTTTGCTGGTGAAAACAGCTTTCCACACTTCAGCTCCTCTGCAGAGCGTCAGCTGAACCCACGTACACACACATCCACACACAGCACAGGAGGTGCAAACACGGTACCCTGCAGCGCTACCAGGCATGTAGTCATGAAAATGCACACTGAATCACAGCTTGTCATCAGAGCTTAATGTTTCCCACAGGACCAAGTCATTCTTCAGGGGATAGCAGAGGGGATTTTATGTAAATCAGCTAAAAGTTAGGAAAGCCTGAATCTTATCTTATCTCACTGGGCTGCAACTGTTGGTTGGGAAATCAAATTTAGCACATTTCTAATTAGAATCAAACACAATTGGTAATTACAAAGACATGTGAGGGATTATCTTAGTTTTCTTTAATGACTGGTTTACCCTATCCAGCCATGACATGAATATTAAATGAGCTGCATGGTGATTGGCCAGTTAACCCTGATGACTGTGACTCAGTAAGCAAGCTATGGATCCATCAAAATCTGGATAGCCCCAGTTGGAGCTGGCTGATCCCTGAGCAACATCCCCAGATTTGGTGAACTGTTACTGCAAAACTCTACACACAACCCCCCCCACGTTTTCCAGTGCTGACACCATTTAGAAAGCACAAGCAGTCAATAATGTTAACTGACGTCAGCACAGCTTGAGCTAAACTTACCAACTGTAAACACTAGGTGTCACAATTTAACACAAACCAATCAGAAACGTTGACTAATTAGGTAAAGGGGCTAAAGTCAGCTTGTTGAGGTATGACACAATGGATCCAACGAGATGCAGTGAAAGGGGTTGAGGAGGTCTAGGACACCAGGGTGGAGGAGGAGGAGAAGGAGGTCTCGGACACCCGACAACGCCAACCTAAACTTTTTAAAAATACCGAAATGGGCAAAATGACATTGGTAAGAGTCATAAATGTTGGCGTCTGTAAATTTTCTGTTTACCGCCCACCTCTACTCCCAGTACATCCTGGAACCTCACTTGTATGCTCTGACATCATTCTTTGTTTGTTTCCTATTGTCCAAAAGGGACGTCAGGAGTAGCTCTGGGTAGCATTAGCAGTATCTCAGGCTAGTAGCTGTAGCTCAAGTTAGCATCAGAATTATCCTGAGCTCGCGTTGTTTGACAGTTAGCGTTAGCACCCCTGGCTTTTATAAATTGTCGACACTGAAGTGAACTGAGACATGCAAATGTAAGTGGGTGTGTGTCTATGCCTATGGCGTGTTGCAGCTTTTCTCTGAACAAACTCTTTCTCAGCAGTCATTACACTATTACTCATTTATATAGGAATGCAGAACAAAGGCGGCAGACTTTCTGGTACATTTGACACCCCATGCTGCCCATACTCAACAATTTAAAAGCAGTTCTGAGTTCCAGAACCTTCTAGTTTTGATTAGCACGCGTTAGCAAGCTTCTGTCCTTAGCTGACAGGAGTGAAACCCAGTGTGGTCTTCTGCTGCTGGAGTCCATCGCTGCAAGGCTCAGGGTGTTGTGGTTCAGTGACGCTTTTCTGCACCTTGGTTGGTTGCCATCTATCATCTAGAACCAGTCTGCCCACTGTCATCTGACCTCTGACGTTTGCTGGGCATTTTCATCCTCACAACTGCTGCTCACGGGATATTTTCTCTTTTCAGAATGTTCTCTGTGGACTCCAGAGATGGTTGTGGGAATATCTCCGTAGATCAGCAGTTTCTGAAATTTCAGATCAGCCCCTCTAGCACCAAAAACCAGATTTAAAGTAACACAAATCTCCTCTCTCCTCTTTTTTGATTTCAGTTTAAACGCTGTCCTGAAACAGTTCCCATACGATTTAATAAAGAGACCAGTGAGTAAATGTTATTATTTGATAACTTTCTCTTGTTTTACTGAGCATTTGATCACCAACCCCTTCTAAAGTAGTTAGATAAACGCAGAAAAGGGGACTGGGAGCACAAGGAACAGAACACAAAGGTGTGGTCAGTAATTTGGCAAACCGAAGGGCAATCCCTGCCTACATGATAATGGCTTTAAATCACCCTTCCGTGTGCAGTTGCGCCCTAATTGGATCTCTTTACCGCAGAAAAATCTCCCATTGACTCTGTGAGAAAAACAAGCTTCTGCTTTCAGTGAGCCAGTGACTCTGATGTTCCTTAAGAGACTAGCGTTGTAGCACTTCAAACTCTCGCTGAGAACTACCCAGGACTTTTTAGTTTGCATATCATGCATATTTAGACATAGACATTGACCTCATAAAGCTCCTCTGGGGCTTTTGTTTCAGGGAAATCAGTCTGGACACACACGGAGAGGAACGTTGTACTTCATCTTCTGTGATTTTCACAGTCGGCGTTTTCTTCCAGCACACAATAACCTGCTAAATTGCTGTGTGACACAGTCGTGCCATGCGCTGCCATCACAATCAAAGCTAAATGAAAAGATGGGAAAAGCTGGTTCCAGACTTGTTAGTGGTAATCTTAAAAAAAATCATCAAAAGAAAAAAATGAACAACTTTTAACAACATTGTCTTTGTGTGTGTGTGTGTGTGTGTGTGTGTGTTTTATTTATTTTTATTTTTTTGCCTTTTTAAAGCAAATGAAGATGTGAAAATGTCCCGATGGCTAAAATCAACAACAGTGAGCTCATTTTCAATGTAAATGTCACAACACATATTTTAAAGTGGATTCTCCTTATATACTTAAAAATAAATGTAGGAAGTCATTGCTAACATTATCAACAGAATTATTTAAGGTTTAGTCCTAAACGTAGCATCACTCGTAATGCAGGCACACAGCATGTTTCCATGAAAGCTGATGGGATGCTAAGAAGCTAATAACTTATTAAAGGCATTTTTCAGCTGCAGGAAATGAGTTTTCCAAGGGGGTTAAGAAGGCTCCAGTCTCTCTTAACCTGCATTTAAAGAGCAAGTAACGTCTAAATTAACTTTTTTTTGCTGATGAACTGTATAAATGAGTGTCTAATAGTGTTTTAAATGTGTGTATTCATTATTTTAGCATTTTGGTGCATTTTCTTTAAAAATTAATTTTTCAGCCTAAAAACCACAGTAATGCGCCACCTTCAGCTTAAAACACAGAATTTGACACATTTTGAATAAATTTTAGCCAATGGCTAAAGAGTAAGATACTACGTAAACCAGTAGAGTACTACGTAGCAGCTCTTGTGCCAAAGTTATAAAGCAACGAGAGTCTCGGCCACGCCCTGTGGCGAGTTGGGAGTTGGATTTGCAAGCGAGTGTAGGACGGTTAGCGGTAGTTCAGCATTAGCATATATCATTAGCATATTCTAGTCTTTAGCATAGCTTTTAGTGTTATACATACTTATTTAGTGTTAGCTTGGCTGTTAGATATTGTAGTTTAGTTAGTGTTTAGCTGTTAGTTTTATTAGGAAAGTAATTCAGGTTTAGTGTTCCATATCGTGTTAGTATGGTTAAAAGGTGTAGTGTAGTTGGTTGTGGTGGCTCTGTGGGGTTGCACTCCTTTCCACTGGACTTAGAAATTAGGCGCCAGTGGTTGCGCGCAATCGGTGTACTGGAAAACAGTCAGCTCCCGCCTGGTGCTGTAGTCTGCAACCAGCATTTTACCCGCGATTCCTTCGCCAACATGATGGAGTTTGAACTGGGTTATTCTGCACGTCTCCGTTTGAAGAGGGAGGCCGTGCCCACCGTGGCTCTTCCACGAATTAGATGCAGCACACCGACTCTGCTCCCCCACCATGGCGGGCTCCAGTCTGAGGTGAGTAAGCTAAATAAAAGTTAGCATCTTCTAAAGACAATTTCCTACCTAAATGCAAAGTTTGAGAGACGTGGTTCACTCCATTTAGCTAATATCAGCCTGCACTGCCTTCGGGCTAATTTGTCAAGTTCACAAAATGTGGAACGGGATGTAAGGTTAGAATCAGCGGCGAATCGGAACATTTCTCAAAGCCCTGGCCGACAAAAAAGGTCCACTTGACTATTTCTGTCAGGCTCGGAGAAAATTCGGGTTGTTTTTGTGTCAGTCGGTAATTCAGCAACAGTGGCTCTAACGCAGCACTAGTTGACAGACATCATTACAGCGTGAAATCCAGCTTTACACCAAAGCCTAACCCGGTTCTGTGAGGAATTCTGTTCAGGAGGTCGCATTTCAGGTTCTTCACATCATATGTGACTGACTTTGACATTATAATAACGATCACACACTAGGAATGTTATAAAGCGCCTATATATATATATATATATATATATATATATATATATATTGGACAGTTTCTTTTGTATATTATATGACTTTATAAACTCCAACAACAATGTGCTTCTATTTTTTGTTTCAGGCTAAATCTACCCAAGACGTTGGCTGTCAGACTGATTTAGTAATCTGCAAAAATGCACTTGTCCAGGCTCATGTAAAGCCTTATCGACGTAGCAAAGGTGAATTATTTTTAATAATCTTCTATGTAAACATTTTATTATTACCTTCTAGTTTGAATTTGTTTTACAGATTATTGTTACACGTGATTTTATGCTATTTTAAACATTTATAAATGTGCTGCTTCTTTGTATTTTACATAGCCACACAGTTTAGAGCTCCCAGCCGCAGTGTGTCTTGTGACACAGGTACCGTGACGGAAATTCATCTTCCACAAAGTCCCAGAGCTGCGTCCACACCCCAAGGTGTCCCGTTTGTACCGGTCGTTGTGTTGTGAACACGACAACAGTCGGCACACTGCTCCGTGTGACACAACGGTGTTCATGCTGTGAGCACTACAATGAATGGTCCAGTCAGCCCATGGTGAACAGCATCCCAGCAGGAAACCTCCAGCTCTGTGCTGCTGTCCTTTTCACAGGCTCATCATTTAGCCAGATTTCTAAGGTATAGGCCAAAACTGTTTAGGTTAGTTTTGATAAGGTCTGTGCGTCTCTCATTTCATGTCGTAACTTTTCATATTTTAGTTCCTGGGTGCCTTCAATGTGCAGGGACTGTCCAAGCAGTCATTCTGTCGGCATCAGGCAAAGCTCTTAATTCCAACAGTGAGCTGGCAGTGGCAGCTAGAGCAAGCTGATATCATCCAGGAGGCTACTGAATCTGGACCTGTGACTCTTGGTGGTGACATGCGAGCTGATTCACCTGGTGAATACGTTTAAATTTATTTATTTTATTCCTTTGCTATCAAATGTAAATTAAGTAATAACTTGCATTTCTTGAAGGACACTCAGCCAAATATGGCAGCTACACCATGATGGATCTCAAAAGAAACAAAGTTATTGATATCCAACTTGTACAGGTACAACATTACCTGATGATTCCAAAACATTTAATGGTTAATTATTCACAGATCAATGGAGAATTATGTTTATTTTCAGAGCAATGAAGTTGGGAATAGTGTGCGAATGGAGAAGGAGGGATTTGTGCGAAGTCTGAGCACACTTTTGGAGAGGGGGGTCGATGTGCAGCAAGTCGTGACTGACCGCCACACAGGAGTGCAGAAGTATTTGAGGGAGGAAAAAAAGGAAATCAGTCACTACTTTGACCCCTGGCACATGGGAAAAGGTAATCTTTGGGGATGTATATAGTGAATATTACAGGATTTTTTTTTCTATTTTAAATGTGGGTCTATTTGGCTCTCCAGGAATTGGTAAGAAAATCGAAGAGCTGGGGAAGAGAAAGACGACCCAGGATGTGAGACTGTGGAAGCAAAGTGTGGTGAACCACCTCTACTGGTCAGCATCCAGTTCCTCCTCAGGACAGGAGGCAGTTGCAAAGTGGACTTCAGTTGCCAACCACATCCAAAATGTGCACAGCCATGACAACGCCCTGTTCCCTAGCTGTCTGCATGCACCTCTGGATGGAGAACAGGCAAGACAGTGGCTCAAACCAAGTAAGTGTAGCATGTACTCATTACAGCTGAGCCTTTACTGTTTGGTTTATTTACATTTAAAACACGTCACCCCACAACAGAATATTTGTCTTCACCTCCTTCAACATGGAGAAATATTTTTTGAGCATGTGAGTAACAGACATCACATGTAGCTGCTAAGGTCACACACCACCATTTGGCCAACAGCAATTAATTACTAAGAATAAAATGCTGTGCAGAAATTTAAACACACGAGTGCGCCACACAACTCATGGTTTTAGGCAGAACAGCCATAATTGACATAATATGTACTAAAATGCCGTAAGTAATGACCACACCTGTCTACAGCACTATTAGTCACTCTTTCATACATTTGTCATCTAAAAATGTCAGCTATGGGTAACTTTTTCTCAATGGAAATAATAGCAACATTCTAAAGTTGATCAAATTGTAATTTTTGTAATTAACATTTTCTACGTAGGCACAGCATCATGTGAGAAGCTCACTGCCATTCTGTTAGCTCCACGGTTTGTGAAGGACGTAGAGAAGATAAGCCCTCAGTACCACACATCCACCTTGGAGGCTTTCCACAGTCTCATCGTCAGATTTACTCCAAAAAGTCAAGTCTTCTCCTTCAAAGGAATGCTGTCTAGGTAATGAATACAACAAATGTTCAAATTAATGCCTCTAATTGTTCAAATTTTAGCATGAAATGTAGAATTTTGCCTCAAATCTACATGGTTTGTTTATTTGATTATTTCAGATTACAAATTGCTGCAATGCACTATAATGAAAATGCAGCACGCTCACATGCAGCAACAGCAACTGGTGAGCTGAGATATGCTGTAGTGTACCCAAAGTACAAACGTGGAGACTACACAGTGAGAGCCCTGAAGACCAATCCAACCTCATGTATGTCATATATTGTATGATAAAACCAAAATGATGGTCATGGAGAGCTATTGTAATACTGAAAACCCTTTTCCAGTATATGTGCACAAGCTTATGGACCTGCTGTTCGACTCTGTGGTGGTGGATCCTCTCCCATATCAGGAGTACTCGGACAAAATTACGGTTCCAGAACCGCTCTGTGCCCAGTTCCAAAGACCAGATAAACGGGATGCTGTGAGCAGGCACAGGTCCAGGTTTTAAAGTGCACGTCAGGTGAGCTACACAGGAGATTGTAATTATTAGTTAGTACTCTACTCTGTGTGGTTTCTCCTTTTCTCCTCCTCAGCCAGGCTGCACACCACTGTACGACAGAGGAGTTACCTGTCGTCATTATGGATCTTTATGCTCATCCACTCGTGACTCATGCTGTCCACCTCCCAGATGTCTATTGATCTCTACAACCTTTCCGCTCTGTGGCTCCCATACAACTTGAAAATCTTGGCCGTATGTAACATAGCAAAACTCACCAGTCTTGCTTTTGTAAGTCATACTAGTCATACTAATATTACTTTTTCCTTAGAGCCTCCTGATCTTGTAACAGAAAAACCTGTGCTCCCGGGATCCATCTCCACGTTTGTCATCACAGTGAAAGCTACCTCCAGTCTAAGGAACCTATGAAACATCACTGTTGGCCCAACCTCTCCTCACATGGCTCCAGAATCTCTGCTTGTGGTTTAGAGTTTTGTCAAAAATCTTGAAAGTTATGATCAGATTGTTATCTAACATTGTCTTAGTAGTAGCTATAATAAATGTTATCTTTAAAGCGCAATTGTGTCTTTTTAAATACAATTATATTGATATTTTGATGTGTATAAATACATATATCACATTTATTATCATTCATTTTTACCTAATTGAACCTGCTCTAGAATAGACTTCATTAATCACACAGGGTGTAAACTCACTTGTTACAGCAGCATTAATTAACCCCGAATTAGAACCTTACTGTTGTAAGAGCTCATTTGAAAGTATGTGGCTATATGTGTGTATATATAAATAATGTCAAAGTGTAAAGAAGTGCATTTACCGTTTTGTGATTTATGCAGCTTTTTATGGACAGGAATCAATACAGGAAATATATATTATAACATTTATTTAATCAAAAAAATATATATTAGTTCAGAGGAGGGAGGAATCCTTTGTATGCACCGTCTTCTGGGAACTCCTGCCTTATTCTGGAGACAGCGCATGACGGGATCACAACACGAACGTGCTGTCCCAGGTAACCCCAACACCACCTGACCACATTCCGGTACGCCAGATGTCTGTAACAGCTGAGAAAGAGGTGGTATGAGTTATAAAGTATTCATAAAAAAAGTAATTTGACAGTTGTCTTACCTGTTGAGCGTAGTCTCCTGCATCTCCCCATAGAGTTGCAGAAAGGTGCCATAAACTGCCTGCAACACGTAGGGATTCAGAGCAACAGCCTCAAAACCAGGATGCTCTGTTATGCAGGAGGTTACACCCACCTGCTGACACCTGAGCATTACCTATGACAAAGAACAACTGATATCAGGTCTATAAGAGTTCAATATTAGTATGATGTTAGTGATTGTGTAACAAATGTGTACATTACAGAATGCTTTTCTCATGGTGGGGTACTTTTATTTTTATACCTTGGGCGTTTCTCTGCAGCACACATTTTCTCTGGCAGACAATGATGTGCAGTGGCCGCAGGTGCACCTGTCGAGGCAGTCATACAATATTACTTTTAGCTAAGCTAAATATAGCTAGCTGTGGCTAAAAGCTACTTACCACTCAGAGACTGGACCCATTCGATGCCTTGATACTCCTGCTGGCTCGACTCCAGGGGCCTCTGACAACTCACGAGCTAGTGGCTCAAAAAGATACGGTTCAGGACCGCTTGCTTCCCCCAATAAGCCCTCCTCCCTATCCTCTGGGGAAGAAGGTGGGGAAAAGTCCTCCACCTCGAATGACTGCTCTGAGCTAGTGTCGCTCTCCGTCGCCATCTGTATTCAAATTTCAGTATGTCAATCACGGCCGTAGCTCCGCCTTCTCGGTCTTACAGGAAACGCCTCTTTGGGCCGCATTTTTCAAATATGAAATGTGGGTGGAGTAAGACTCTGAGGAGGCTGTTACCACTACTTTAAGGTAGCAGCAATCTTATTTTGGGGTGGGAGGGGCTTTAAACTCTTATATTCATAACAAGTTTTGCAGAATACATTACAGGGATGTGCCAATATAACCGCAGGGATAATCATTTCTCATTTTTATTTTTAATTCACTGGACGGATGAAAAGTCAGCATGGCCAAGAAGCCAACATAAATAATAAACCAGCCTTGGAGGAAGCATGTTGCCCATGTTTTGTACCTTTAATTCCATTATTATATTGTTCTAAACAAATTGAACCTTTATCTAGGTGCAGCCCAAATTTTTAACACAACATAGTTTTTAAATTAAAAAAGCTAACAGTGACTTCCCCTCATTTTCCAAAAACGTCTGCTCGGAAGGAGTTTGCAGTATTCCACAGACAACCATGACAGGTAATTTTATACATGTTCCATTTTTAATGCATGCTTAACTTTAATAAGCAAAGAGTCAAAAATGTGATCTTAAATAAATTTTCTTGAGCTGGGGAAACCAACTGTATTAAAGAAGTTATGCTTGTTCGCTCCGATGGTGAAAAGTTGGATGAAACCTTCATAAGTCTCCCGTGTCTGTAGGCTAAACTTATGGCTACGCCTCCCTGCACCCAGGCAGAACATAACTGTCCAATAAGCCACATCTATTTGCAGATTGATTTAGGTATTGATTTAGCAAAGCTGGTGTGTTAATTAGTCCTGAGTTGGATTGGTGGCCTGAATGTACCTCACCTTCGCCTCTATAAGCAGCTGCCATAAGACCAAGCCCCTTGATGTCCGGGACTAAAGGAAGAACTAATACAGAGTGGATAGATGTTGGTGTGGTTAACCACTACAACCCTCCATCATTATACATTTCAACATGGTTACTGTTTGAAGTGCATTTCCGTGGGGAAGTTATGACTCATTAAAATGTCCCATGTGGTAGAAAACCTTTCTCAGTGGCCTGGTGGTAGAGTGTCCGCCCTGAGACTTGGAGATCAGGGTTCGATTCCTGGTCGGGTCATACCAAAGACTTTGAAAAATGGGACCCAATGCCTCCCTGCTTGACACTGAGCATCAAGGGGTTGGATTGGGGGGTTAAACCACCAAATAGTTCCCGAGCGCGGCTGTGTCTGCAGCTCACCGCTCCCCCAGGGGATGGGTCAAATGCGGAGAATAAATTTCGCACACACACCTGTGTGTGTGACAACTAATGGGACTTTATATTTAACTTTAAAAGCTTTGTGAATGCCTTCCATTTGGAGAACCAGTGACTGGTGCTGGTCTGAGCTGGGTCGACTCCAAAGTATATTTCTGCTGTTTTACTTAAACTGTCATTTCAGTAATTTCCCAGACAACAATAAGCTCCGGGTCTCTACTGTTAACCCTTTTCAAAAAGAAATGCATAAACAAACAAACAAATGAATAAATAAGAAAAAAAAAACAATTTCATTGAGGAAATTCATGGAGCTGCGTGCCAACAGGAAAGGCAGGTGATCACTTGGGAGCAGTAGCGGTTTTAGGCACGGGCAGACAGGGCAGTTGCCCGGGGCGGCATTTTTTCATGACACAAAAGGGGCGCACAAGCGCGGAGTAAAAAAAAAAAAAGGAAATCTGCGCCACACCGAGGTTTTCTATTATCTGTCTTATGACAGTGTCTGGATTGGAAACAGCAAGTTGGCGCCCCCTGCAGTTGCAGGCGCTCCTGCTGACTGAGAACGTTCACGTGCTCCGTGTGTCTAAAGAACAGGAAGGGGAGGGGTGCGGCGGGGGAATTCACCTCTGCGTCTTTCCCAAATGAAATGAGCGTGCAGGGGCTGAATCAACTGTATTAACATGGCTAAAGTCAATCACATCTTAACGTTCTTCCATATTTCATTCATAATATCATAAACACAGGCCTATCATTCTTTCAAGTTTCTCTGAATTGTGTGAAATGGCCGAATAAAAAAAGGAAAAACAAAACGATTTTGTGGTCACCCCCCATCAAGGTCAAATGGTTTAGTCCCGACTAAAGGAAACTTACTGAGTCAGGAGACAAACAGAAGAGATGAACATAAAAAGGCTAAAACCACCAGGTGCCCCATTCAGGGGGAACAAAAGAAAAAAAGAGCAGAAAGATAAAGGTATGTAGCTCTCATGATGCATGTTTTCAATTTTTTGAACCAGTTAACTGGGATTTTAACGGTTAAATGCGGTCAACTAATTGCTAACAGAGCTAATAGGGCTGAAATATTTAAACGAATATTCAAATGGTTTGAAAAAAGTCCTTGAATCGTTTTTTACTGATTCAAACTAGGATTTGTTGCTCACTGCAGCCTGTGGCCTGCCTGAACAACAACAAACACATGTTGATCATGTTCACATAATAATAAATAAAACAATTCTACAAGCAGAAGAAAACTCCCCAGTCACCACTAACTATCCTGTTTATTTATTGCAGATGGCTGCACTGATTATTTTTTACATGATTTGTTCTGTAAAAGTTGGCATTTTTGGTAGTCTACAGTTTTTTTATGTCAGTTTAAATTACAATTTCAGAGGCAATTCTAAAATATTATGGATACTGATAAAGATCTATTGGAGATCTACCCCAACTTTTGGACTGCTCTGCCAGTCACTGTGGCTCAAGCTGAGAGGAGCTTTTCAAAACTTGATCAAGTCATACCTGAGGTCATCTATGTTTCAGGGGCGGCTCACTAACCTGGCTCTGATTAGTATCAATCACTCAGTAGGGGAGCAGATTTCATGTGATGACATTATTGATGACTTTGCATCAAGGTTAGGTTTTAATTTTAGTTTGTGTTTTCTATTCTAAGTGCAATGCTGTAGTGATTATCTTTAGTTTGTTACGTGTGAAATATTTTTGCTATTTAGAATATTTATTATACAGGTGCTGGCCAGTAAATTAGAATATCATCAAAAGGTTGAAAATATTTCAGTAATTCCATTCAAAACGTGAAACTTGTACATTATATTCATGCAATGCACACAGACCAATGTATTTCCGATGTTTATTACGTTTAATTTTGATATTTATAGGTGACAACCAATGAAAACATCAAATCTGGTATCTCAGAAAATTAGAATATTCTAAAGGCCAATGAAAAAATGTTTGTTTCTCTAATGTTGGCCAACTGAAAAGAATGAACATGAAAAGAATGTGCATGTATAGCACTCAATACTTAGTCGGGGCTCCTTTTGCCTCAATAACTGCAGTAATGCGGCGTGGCATGGACTCGATCAGTCTGTGGCACTGCTCAGGTGTTATGAGAGCCCAGGTTGCTCTGATAGTCGTCTTCAGCTCCTCTGCATTGTTGGG